ATCAGACTTCTGAAAGGATTCAGTAATCAGGAAGGGTTGAAAGCCATTGATCTGGGACAACTGCCTGTATATATCACAGGCCACTAAACATCACCCAGTCACTCCCACACTAAGCCTAACTACTAGAATTAGACCAAAGTATCTCAGCTCTCAAAAAACAAACTATTATGCACCACAGGCAGAGAACACAAGGGACTGAGATGCTGGAGCAGCTGGAAATGGAATTGGTTAGAGATGGAACCTAAAAATGGCGTGGAATTGTATGTAGTTAATGAATAAAAGATCCCCTTGCTCACTGCCCTAACTGGAGCCTCTTGTTGTTACTTTATGTTCTTGTTCTTACTCACTTAATTCAAAGGACAATAGGATTGCGGGAAGCATTACAGGCAGGACTCTGAGTTGGAACTCAGCAGCTCTGCAGGTGCAAACCAATTTAAATTGGGGAGCTGGCTTGGTTCCCTTCAATCAGGAATTGAAGATGGAGGGGAGTGGCGACACAGTTGGGATTCCCCCAATTCTGCACCCCTGTAGCAGCAAGAACAGATTCCACCAGCAGTAGAATAGAGGGGTTTTATTGCTTTTCTAGGATACAGTACAGCATAGACGTGATGTGATAAGAATCAGGGCCAGGATGTTTCAGACCCCTTGGGTTAGGGGCATAGGTGTGCACAGCACATTTCATTAGGGTGTGCACCCAAATCATTTTTTTTAAATGCACTCTTTGACCCCCATTCGCCACGCCTCTGGAGCTAATACTTTCAGGGCAATATGGACACATGACCAGAAATAAAAGGTTTCATGTGACATCCCCCCCAAGGACTTTTCCCACCATCCTCCTACCAATAGGGATAAGTTTGGCCCTCACCAAACCCCCCTCATGCAACTATCCCACGACTGCATTAACCCATTGGCTGAGTCTATATTGGAACCCTTTTCCGGAAAAGGGATGCTAATGAAACCAGTCGGAATTGCAAATGCCGCGGGGGATTTAAATATCCCCCGCAGCATTTGCATGAACATGGCTGGCGCCTTTTTCCGGCTCGGGGCTTTGCTGGAGAAAAGCGCCAGTCTAGACGGGATCTTGCGGAAAATAAGCCCTTTTCCGGAAGATCCCTTATTCCTACTTGAAAGCCTTGCTCCACCCCTGCCTTCCTCATGCCCACCCCTTCTTTCAAGTCTTCTCCCAGCACCTCCCTTTCTCCCCTCTAGCCCCCAAAGCCCTTCCTCTCTCCTCTCCTAGCATCATCCTGTCCCCCGCTCTCATTGACACTTCCCCTCCTGCCCTTTTCCCTCTTGTTCCCTGATGCCCGCCCCCTCACCACCCTCTGCCCCCATTCCCCTCATGCCCCTCTGCCCTCTCACATGCCTTGCTCCACCCCTGCTTTCCTCATGCCCACCCCTTCTTTCAAGCCTTCTCCCAGCACCTCCCCTTCTCCCCTCTAGCCCCAAAGCCCTTCCCCTCTCCTCTCCTAGCATCATCCTGTCTCCCCCTCTCACTGACACCTCCCCTCCTGCCCTTTTCCTCATTGTCTGAACTTGGCCCCCTGGCATTTGTGTCTCACCTCCACCCTGTCCCTTGGTGCCATCTCCTTTCTTCTCCTGACCTGTCCCCCTCCCCTCAGCACAAGCCCCTTCCTCTCTGACCCTTTCCCCCTATTTTTCCCTGCCAGATGGTCTGTAACAGAGTTCTAGGGTCGCCCTGACTATCACCCTTCTGGTGCTCCCCCTACTCTGTCTTTCTTAGGTTTCTCAGCCTCCTTTTGGGCCACAAACTCCCACCCCACAGTCTCTGGTTCCCAAAGTTCCAGCAGTCTCCCCATCACTTAGTGCCTGCATCGGGTCTGACTCGTAGGATTGCCAGGACAGTCTGGTTTTTGGGCACAGTCCAGTTTTTGGGCCTTCTGTCTGGTAAAAACCCCCCAGAAAATACCCAACACATGCAATGTCTGGAATTTTCTGGTTTTCCGGCTGGGCACCAGACTGAAGCCTGGCGGCGGCGGGGAGAATGACTGGAAGGTGGGGCGCAATCGGCACTGGGAGCCTCTAGTGGGGGGGTCTGGCCAGGAGGAAGGGGAGGTGGGAAGCAGAGCTGGCAGGG